GACTTCCTTAAACGATTTATTTCCCATATCTCGACAGCATTTTCAATTTTAATTTTAATAAGTTTATAGCATCTGTTCAAATGTTTCACAATTTTAAAATTGTTTAAAGTTGTATCCTCGTCGATTAATAATTGTAGGATATTTTCTATATGAGGCTAAATTCTTCTGACCAATAATGATCGATATATATCTGAAATTAAAAACTAAGTATCAATAAATATATAAATAAATCTGTTTATATACAATATAATGAACAATCCTGGAGTTTCGTAATATAATCACAGGTCAGCAGATAAATTACTTCAGATATCTAATCTACACCAACCGGGAAGTTCAATGATCGGGAGATTGGAGGTTTTGAAGAGCGTGAAACCTCCTCATAACTGGTTTGTTCCCAAGGCAACCGTGGCTCAGGATGGTAGAACATGCTAGGTTCCTAGCTATGGGTAAATACTAAAACCCAAACAAAAATCAGCAGTACATTTTTATAATAAAATAACAAACACTATATTTTTATAGCAAAATAAAATCAATGTAAAACTAAAAATAAATATAAATATGTTTTATTGTAAAATTTACCAACAATACATTTTATGATCTACAAATTATATACCTGAAAAAATACCTTTACCCGTAGAGTATAAAATTATGTATAATTTAACTGTAGTTGAACGCATAAAATTGCGTGCGGGATATTTAGATTTCGACATCAAAGAAACCCATAGAGGTGTTGATATGCAAATTCAACCAACCAACCAGCTTCAAATACTGCACTGCGAAAACTGGCTATGGATATTGCATGAGTGCTGCTGTCTTTTTCATTTTCAATTTGAAATTTCTTGGGAATTACAACGAAAAAGATAGAACAATTGTGTGACATCTATTTGGTGAAATAGGTGATGCAGTAAAAACATTTCCCATTGACTTCATCACAATCCATGACTTGTAATCTATTGTACGTTTTAGAAAGTGTTACAAAACCTAAAACTTGCCAAACTCACTCGGGAGTTGCTCAGAAATATTTGCATTATTTCTATGAGCACGTGATTATGCTTGGAGCAAATCACTTGAGGACTTTCAACAGCAGTAACAATTAAAATGGGTTGCACATATGATTTGAACAGCATATGATGACATAATCAATATGTAGTCGTTTCACACTACTTGAAATAAAATTTTATGATGGAAAGCTTCACTAGTAGTTGAAAGAGTGATAACAGCTACATGACTTGAAAAACGTATTTTCCTTCAAAATTAGGAAAGGGAAAGAATTTATAAACTACAACCTATTCAAAGTATTCACTTCTCGGCCAATGAATTCGAAATGGTTCCTTGAAGGGAAACGGATAATACTGACATTGGCGGTTGACATGCAGAGAGTGTGAAATTTACTAAGCCTTCTTTCCTCGTTATATGTCTCAGAAATTTCAACTTCTATTTTTCTGCGGCTCCTGTATTTCAAAAGACTTACTTGTTACTAATACATTCCGGCCAAGATCTTCTTGATAGAATCTGATCCCTGTGTCCGCATATCATTCATTCACCTGTAAGCAGACATTCATTGTCTTATACACTGATTAGATATAAAACATAAACGCCTTTCACTCATTCCCTTTTTCTTTATAATTTACTTATTTATTTGAAGTGGAGTCCAGATGTATTTTTCACACTTTCTGTCGTATAAGCAGATAGTTTTGATTTTGACATTTTATATGAGCCATTTACATTGAGTCGTCTCTTTTGTTGACAGCTAACTATTCTATCTTCTTAAATTTTCAGGTATATCTTTTATTCTTGCTTATTAACGTTTAAAATTTTTTTATCATCTTTCTTACAAAAAATGTCATAATAGCAGCGGGAGATTTTATCCATCAAAGCTAAATTCTGGTGTGCCGTATATCCTTTCTTTGGACAGTCTCGGTGTAGATAGTTTAATAATTCTGGTGCAAAAAAAAAAAAACTCTTTGTCATACTGCATTTTTAAACTTACCCTATATCACATATATGTTCCATCCGTTTCAGATCTCTCTGCTAGTAACCATTTAGCAGATTAATCTGATAGATTTGCACAGATGAAGGATTGCTCTATGAAGTCGTCTCGTGGATGAACTCTTTCCACTCCTTTCGGAGAATTAAATCCGCCTAAGATACATCGCTAAATGATACATCGCTAAAGACGTTAGAAAAGCGACGGTTCCTTCTACGGCTCCAAGAGGTATCTGACTGTTTTCACCTGTTCCACTATTACAAAGGCCTGATCAGACAAGACGTGGAATATTGCCGCCATATATGTGCTGGAGCTGCTCATTCGTTACTCTGAAGCCTTGACATAATTCAAAATCGTCTCTCAGGAATCATGAATAATTTCCCAGTCTACAGCGCTTTCCGCTTAGACGGGACGAACTACACTATTGCTGTAAAAGGTTCTGTCAAGTTAAATGCCTTCGTTACACCACTTCAGGCATGCTATGTAGACATTAACGAGTCATCCTATTTGAGGTTTTATTCATCTTAGAAAAAGGATGTTCTGTTTAAACAGCTTCTCCTTAAGAACCGTCACTTTCTTAAACAGTCTCCTGTAAGGATATTTCGCCGAACACTTCTAGTCCAAAGACAACAGTTATATATCCTATATATCTTCATAACCTAAACTCCTTAGCACATTCTCTGACATCCATAAAGCAACCTCATTCAATAAAAGCCTCTAGAGTAAGTGAGCCTGGGGGATTGTATTATACGTATAGCAGTGTAAAGAAACTTACGTTGGTAAGTCTTATGATTACCAACATTTAATCCACTTTGAAGAAGCAACATCTTTTATTGACACATGTTTTTCCCACTACATTTTATTTTGACCTCGACATTCATTAAGTTTTAAATAATGTAAACTTAACATTTTCTGCGGAAAGGAAGATTACGTTTACAAAAAGAAAATCTACCTTATGTAATTATAACAAAACTATTAATCAAAAATAGGCAAATAATATCGGCACTTTCGGAGCAGACTACCCTGAATTATTCGTCAGTTTAAACTTCACAAAGAGCTCAATTATTAGGAATATGTTCTATATTTGATAGTATTTATAAAATATAAAATTGATTATAGGTGAATTTATACTAAATATTTTAAAATGTCACGGAGATTACATTTAGTAGTAGAAGTCGTACGTATTTTAAAATCAATAATTTCCAGCAATCATGACTTTTCACATACAGAAGGGAAAGAACAGTTGAAAATAATTTTTACTAAATTCAATTTATTTTTACTCATGCTACAATTAAAATTTATGCAACACGTAAGTGTTTAATTACGGAAATAATAAATAGGTGATATTTTTTAATTAGTTGCTCGGAGTCGAAATATCTTTCCGCTTTTCAAAACTTTAAAAATCAAGTTTCCCAAGAAATATCAAGTATGATAAAAATCTTTTTGTAATGAAAAGTAATATCTATATTTTCCTTATATGGACTTTATTTTCTTTTTGAATTCCCTTTTTTTCATTCATCTGTTTCCCTTCTTGACGTGAGCAAATATGGCTCTGCCCTAATTCCTCGCGCTTGTAGTTCATGGAAATTTTTCTCGTTTTAATATATCTTGCACTTAATATTCTGATGTCTTTTTCCCTCCAGACCTGTATATGTCCTACGAGTGTCTTTTCCCCAGTTTATATGTTCTAGACATATAAACTGCATCATGCCTCGTCTTCTCCTCTGAGGATGTTATACAGTCTTCACGGCCTTATATGAGGGTTGGCGTTACATAAAATCTTTTCGTTGTTTCTTATAACATCTTTCTGTTTCTTAATTCATGTTTTGTTCTTGAAATACATCATTCATACTTTCAATGGAAGTTCGGATTTCTTACATTTTTCTGCCATCTGTTAAAAGACTTCATAGATATGTAAACCTTTGCACTTGTTCGATTTTAATATCTCCAGGTCGTGGCTCGCCTCTAGCGTTGTTTCTCCCGCTTAAATCCTTACCTTCTCTATTCTTACACTTTAGTTTTAGTTTATTTTTCCCGCTATCCTTTGCTACTTCCTGTAGAAGTTCCTACAGATTTCTTTATGCTTGCCATTAACCCAGTATCATCTGCGTAGCTATGGTGTTAAGAATGTCTGCATTGAAATAAATCTTTGTAGGACATGTAGTTCTCTTAAAATTGCAACGCTGTAAAAGTATATTATATTTGGCGAGAAAACGCATTCTTGTATTGCTTTACTTTCTTTGTTTGTATATTTAATTTATTTATCCCTAAGCGGGTGGTGTACTCCACAAATAATAATTCCTGATTATTCTCATATCTTTTCAAAATAAATCAAGTTTTCACAGCAGTTGAATATATATATTTGTGCTGTGCTTTATCAAGTGCATTTTAATTAGAAACATCATTTTTAAATAATTCATCAAGAAAGATTATATGAAGATAGTAAGGTGGGAGTGCGAGCTTATCATCCAATACATTCATTAGAGTGCTCGAGTTTCCGGTATGAGTCCGACGCCATCTTTTCATCTCTCTGCTAAAATATGCACATGTGGCATGATTAAAAAAAATTCAACGCTTCTTATTAAGTACAGATAACTCAAGTAACTTATATATGCACAATAAATTTTCGTTTTGGAATCTAATGTAAATCTTTGAGGAAATATTTCAGGATATTTGCTTGATCGATAACGGTTGGAATAAAGATTGTATATTATTTTGGGTCATGTTTCAATTGCTTGTTACCATTTTTTATCCTGCACTTTGGATTTAATTAAGTGGCATTCTATCGTCAGTTGAAAACCACGCTGATTTTTTTTTTTTGCATTTAGAGGATCATTACTACAGCCGCTGATACTTCGATTCATGATTTGTAGAATTACTACCATTTTCATTTTTAGTTATTCTTCTGATTCTTCTTAACACTTGATGTTTCTTTTTGGCTTCTTTTCAAATTATCGAACTGTGTCTCCTTGACATTTTCCCATACTGGCCAACTTTTTCTGTATTTCCCAAAATGAAATCCTGTTGCAATCTTTTCTTCTGTTCAAACATACCTTATTTTTCTATCGAACATTTTCTTTTGTACTACTTTATTCGTTTGCATTTCATCCTTTTCTCCAATATTTCTTTTTCTTCTTCTCTCATGTCATTCTTTACATGTCTTGTTCGCTTATTTTTCTTTCTTTCTTTTTGTTCGTTTAATTTCTTTCACGTTAATATCCTTTTTTTATTTTTTCTTATTTTTGTTTTCATTTGTCGCTCCTTTCTTTCTTTCTTTATTTATGTTATTTGCATCTATTTCTAGTTTCTTTCTTCTTTGCTCTCTGTCATTATATTCTTTGCATGTATTGCTCGATTCTTTCATTTCTTGAATATATTTCTCGCTTTCATCTTTTCAATTTGGTTTCCTTCTTATTTCATTCTTTCTAATTTCTCTTTTGTTTCTAACTTTGAATTTATTGCTTCTTTCTTTCCTTTCTTTCCAACTTTAAATTTATTGATCTTTTTTTCTTTTTCCAACTTTGAATTTATTGCTTCTTTCTTTCTTTCTCTTTCCAACTTTAAATTTGTTGATCCTTTCTTTCTTTCTTTCTTTCTTTTTCCAACTTTGAATTTTTCTTTCTTTCTTTCTTTGCATTTATTGTTCGATTTGTTCTTTCTCCATGTTATTGTTTTTTTTGTTTGTTTCTATCTCTACTGACTCTACTCTTTCTTATATAGCTACTCCAACTACTACTACTACTACTACTACTACTACTAGCACTGTTATTGCCGGTTAAATTATATGCTGTCATATTCTCCGTCGGCCACCCAGTTGTCATTACGATTTCAAGTCCTCGTTTTTATTTCAACATCGGCAATTGCATTTTCTTATTTATTCCTTTTCCTTCAAGATATTCTTTTAGTTGAAATGTCAGCGAAAATCTAAAAATTATGACACCCCAGATTGAAACGCAAAAGTAAAGATCAAATTCTGTATACAATTATATTTCACTGAAGGAAGCACATGGAAACAGTACAAGAATCGTATAATATGTTTTAGTATACGCTTATTAATTTTAAAAATTTAACTGCGATTCTTAAAAATCTGCTTTCGCCTGCTGTTTAAAATGACTGGTCCTGAAAAAAACGTAGAGTTGTATATTTTTTTTATTCCATCTGATCTGATTCAAATCAGTGGGAGGATTACCAGATGCCTTCAAAATTCTGTTAATTCATTGTGAAGTTTCTTAGGTATAATATTATTATATAGATTGAGGTTGCTTTATCTTATGATTCGTAGTTTTCTAGTCTGGAGAAGTTTGAGTAAGCATTGGCAATTCATTTAAACTGATATAGAAAAAAGCGTAAGAAAAGTATGCATCTTACCGGATATAGTCAGCATATACAACGAAGTGAACTTAAGCAAACCAGAAGTTCTATCAGGATTTAATACTGGTTGGCATAATCTTAAAAATATAAGTAGATAATGTGCAGACGATAGTCACAAAAAAAAAAAAAAAATGCTGCCAGAAATCTAAAAAGTTCAGGAAAAGAAAAAAATGATAAAGGTGTAACAATAAATGTTAAGGAGACAGAATCTAGGGTTGTTAGCAAAAGCTGCTCAATATGGGTGTTACGAATTGGAGATCTTTTCTTACTAATATTCTCTCAGTACAATGGACCAAAAGCCACTCAAGTTAGAGGGTTTCTATATGATGTTATATGGTCATAAGACAAGCAAAAACAAGAATGCTTACAGCTATATCAAGTTGAAAAGTTAAGCAACATCGAGCCTAATCAATAACTGGAAGGGTGACTGCTTAAAAATACCAGGTACTGTAAGGTTTTATGTGCGGGTAGTGTAATGGATAATGGATCGGAATTATTAATCGTAGAGTCGAGTTCCAATTTCCGTTGGATTCGTTATATTCATCTACGCACAAATAACTTTGGGAATGGTGTGGATCCACCTATTATGCCCCCAGCTTTGGATTATTTAGCTAGACTTATATCACTAAAGCATAAATGTCTCAAAACATTTCACACAATCTAAAAATATTTTCTAGGTTTAAATAATCTGCAAAAGAGTTGATAAGCTATAAAAAAACGAATCTATCAATAAAAAAGCAAATAGAAAATGCACCAACAAAAGAAGAAAACAAACCGAAGTGCAATTTATGAGGTTATGTATGTAAGATAACTGTTAAATCTCGACTTGAAGAGATTAAAACTTTCGGGTGTCTGTTCCCAAAAGAATCAATTCTTGGGAAGAATCTGACCGAACTGAAATTCCTTGTTACTTATGAAATATGAAGGATAATGAAGATGATTCATCTCCGTGTTACTGACATACCAGGTCCCATCTGTCAATTTCCGGACTAGTGGAATGTAGCCCGTGAGAATAATTGCCATGGAAATAGAGTAGCGTGTGGCTTGCAACGTTTCATCTGTGGGGTTGTACGATAGAAAATAATTCATCACCCACAAGGCGATGTAGACACTTATAGACGTTATCAAGACGAGTAAATGAGGATTCGGTAGCTCCAGCTCTAGCTCCAGCGCACATATTGCAGGAATTCTCACGTTCGTGTCTGACTAGGTTATCGTCAATACAGTGCTCTTCGATAAAAGTGACTCACCTGATTTTTTTTACTAAATGTGCTCTTCTGCGATGAAAGTTATGGGGAATGTTGCTCAACTGCTTTCTCGAGAGCACGTACTTTATAATGCTCCATAAGTTTTCTATGTGGTTGAGGTCAGGAAATTGGGGCGCCATGTCATAACACTCACCTGCTTCTCATCAGGTATTCCTTCATCAATTTTGATTTGTGACAGGGAACATTATCCTGCTTAAAAATGAGCTTGGTGGGGTCAATTTGCGCTCTTTCAAGAGAAGAGAGCAGACAAGGCTCTAAGATTCTCTTGTACTGCTCGCTCCTGAGGGTCTTTTCAATAGGTTTTAAGAAACCAGTTCCATGAAAAGAAAAGCATCCCCAGAACATTATACTGAACGGATGCTTGACAGTACTCACTGCTAACTTCAAAGAGCTTTCAAAGCTTGTTCTTCGGATTTTAGATCGCTTATCCTTTGAATTTAGCTCAACTTTCGTTTCATCGGAGAGAACATTTAGTAAGAAAAAAATCAGGTAAGTCACTTTTATCGAACAGTACTGTATATAGCAAATGTAGTCAGATACGTACTGCAGCAGTACAAGTAACCGGTGTTTTCGTGAATCGTTTATAATAAATCGCATAATCAATGCGACAGTCCACCAGGGATTGCTTCGCTGACTAACCGTGTTTTTTTAGTTTACATAAATGATGTACCTAAGAGTATACTCCGATCATTTTTGAATAACTATACTGCTGATACAACGTTATATCGAAGAATCTCCAAAACTCCAAAGGAACGGATTGGCAGCTAATATCTCCTCCGGCCTAGCTCTAACATCTCGAGGGCGGGGGAAGAACTGTCTGGTTACACTCAATGTCTCGAAAACCAAAATAGATATCAGTTCATCATCGCCGATCGGATATTAAACTATCACCAATCACGCTGAATCGATGTCAGGTGTCATTAGCGCCTACTGAGCATTAAACTCAAACCCACACCTCACATATACCTCGTACATACGACCCATCGCTAAAGATGCTAGGGAAATAGCCGGTTCCCTGTAAGTACCTGACTCCTCGTGCTATCATCTACCTTTAAAAGAGCCAGATCAAACCGAAAATGGGATAGTGTTGGCATAGATGGGGAGAGATATCCATTCTTCACTTTCCAATCTCAGTATAGTCCAAAAGCATGTTATCTTCCTCGTGGGAGATAAACTGATTTCCACTAGGCAATTTCTTTCCCACAAACAAGCCTCGCAGTGTTCTATCGCTATATCTATGGAAAGTTCAACCAATTCTAGACTTTACGGCTCAGAGACGCCAAGCTATGCACATTGTAACAGGCCACCGTATTCCTTCGTATTCTATTTACGATATGCAAGTTCTACTCCATCAGATTATTCCCGTGAACCGCTACTCTGTTAATCCGACACCCAAGTGATTGTTTTCCCGATCACTACAATCTTAACTTATCAAGTCTAGGATTAACCGTTATAACTCCGACATCACCATAAACCGTGCGTCTTACTGTGTAATCCTCTACCTCGAGTGGCTCCCGGGCCTTGGAAAGGGTGTCCATCAGAGTAAAAAATAAACTTTAGATTCATTTTAAGGAGCTTCATTGAGAGAAAAAATCTATCATGATAGGAGAAATTTCAAGGTCTCAAAGGTGATGACAGGACGTTACTAGTTAGGTTTTGGACATATTGAATTTCAGTATCCAGTCTTCCTCTATTTAGCCACCAGGGCTAAGTCAAAGAAAAAATCAGTTGCCTTGTCCTCGTCAATCAGAATTTTGGTGTGGTGTCTATAAACTGAAAACAGGAAAGCAGAACAATTTAACCACCTCGGAAATGTTTTAACAGACTATGGAAAATGGGACCCCGAAATCCGAAGACGCATGAGAAGTGAAAAATATACATGCCAAAAGCTAAACAAAGTATTACAAAACAAAGATCTCATTAAAAAAAAAAAACAGAGACGAGATTCATAGATTATTGCATAGCATCAGTTATCAGATAAGAGAGTGGATGATGGGCAACTGCCTCAGTGATGAAGAGCGATTCTGAGAATAACATGGATAGAGCATGTAAGCTAATAGGAAGGCATCAATAAATAAAAAGAAGATACAGATTTAGTAAACAGAGCTGAGCATTCTATGACTCATAGGTAAGATGTCTTGAAAAATTTGACGCTCAAATGATATATATATATATATATATATATATATAAAGCAAGAAAGGAATTGGGAAACAGTCTGTATATTATTCAGACATTTTGTGAAAATGGATTGCAGAACATGGAGTAAGGAATCACAAACTCTATCAGATGATAATAGCAAGTGAAAAGTCTTGAACTCCTAAATCCTAAAGGCACACAAAACATAGAAAAAGAAAAAAAAAGTAGATTCAGTAGATTTAAAGAAAATGGCTTTTGTATGTTATGAGATTTGGAGATAATGTTTTTTACGAGATTGTTACCTAAGGTTACCTAAATTATTACATAAATACTAGTAAGATTATCCCAATAATTGCTGAGTCTATATAAGTGATGCATATACTTTTTACAAATGAAACATCTTTTTTTTTGCGATGCCTGCTATTGATTTGAAATTACATTTGGGTAATATCCCATAATTACTAATGATTAAGGAATATGGAGATAGTAATCCTAAAGAGAAACAAAAACCGTATGAAGAAAGTTTTAGATGTCTACTGAGTATTCACCTTTCTGATATATGATCATTTATCTTTTAAACTTTACTTATTTCGATTTTTACACACACACACACACACACACACGCACACACACAGACACACACACATATATATATATATATCAAAAACACGTTTACAGATTTTGAGGGCGTCTACCTAGCACCAAAAAAAAAAGTCCATATAAACATATGTCCGCAAATCATCCGTTTTTGTGTTATTAAGTTTAAATTTTACGGTAGACGCTGTTAAATGTACACTCCAAGATACAATCGAAAAATACTTCTGTAAATTTTAGAGACGGTTTTCTGACACCAAAACCAGATAGAATGTCCTCATAAACATATGTCCAAAACGCCATCTTTGTACCTCAGAACACAAACTCAAAACACATATGCAAAATATCTCCCTTCTGCTTCTACACACGTATGCACCCGTCGGCTGACTGGCTAGAGGACGCTTCCAAATGCTCCCATACGTTATCGAATGGTTTCGAAAACCCCAGTTGTTTTGTTGCAAGGAACCTGCTTTAACATTTTATAAAATTTTTGATTTTATATAATATATATATATATATATATATATATATATATATATATATATATATATATATATATATATATTCTCCCATTAATTACTAAGAACAACAAAATGGGAATATATTGAGTCGATAGCGCTCTAATGTGTTTAACGTCTGCTTCAGAGAAACAGAAATACTTGTATGTTTTAATTTTTCATTTATACACTCTTACTTTTTCTGAATAATTTCTTTCATTTGTAATCATGATTGTAATTACAATATTTTGTTAAGGTTTTTTTTTTTAAGTTTAAATGCAATATAGGAATTTACACACAGATTATTCAATTATTATCTTAATAATTATTATTCATCCGAAGAAGGTAAACTCTGACCTTTTCAAAGGTATTGCCAGTATATAAATTTATGTAACGTTTTTGCGCTTCTAAATGATGTAAGCTTTAAAAGGAATGATTTTATTGTAGTTATACAATATATAAAACCTCTATATTTCGATAAACATTATCGGTTAAGAACATTGAGCAAAATTAAAATCTGCTCGTTATTTCTCAATAACATGACTTCGATGTGAACAGAGGAATTTCCAATGAGAAAAATATAGTTTAACATCGGAAAGAGGAACCCGCGATTACACAAGCTTAAACGGTTTTATAGGTTATCTGAAGCTAGATATTCGGAAATATCTGCTTACAATGTCATAAAAATCGATAATATAATTGATCTGTGTTTGATAAGCCCAGGACGGGGCAAGTAAGAAAAGCTATCATTGGAGTAGATAGATACAATCATAGACTTTCGATGATAAGAAATCTGGTAAGAAAAAGTTAGATCGAGACAGCGAAGAAAGAAGGAGAGGAAAAGAGAAATAGAGAGAGTAAGATAAAATAGAATCAAGACAAAAAATTGTGATGACCTGAAAAAAAAAGAGTCTAAAATAATCTGTGTTTATGAAATATCTGTTCAGCAAAAAAAATATCTGAGTAAGTTTCCTTAACGTATAGGCGTGGAAGAATTCAATTAGATATTGAGCAGAAGAGCTGTAATATGGAAAAATAATCTGAACATGTATGCAATGTCGAGACGGATTTTGACATATCCAGGTTTGATGGTCGATGATACATTTGCGGAAGTATGTATGAAGGGAACACGATGTGGACATCTGAGTTTCAAAGTATTGTATGTCAGGTAAAAGCATATCGGTAGCTTGTATTAAATTAAGGGAATGCAGGAGAGAAATATTGAATACATTTATACTCGACCACGGATTTTTTTTCCGCTGTGATAACAAACTAACGTACAATACAGGAAGGATCCTATTGCTGAGCTGCTGACGTTGTAAGCCGAAACACTGCAATACAGCTATCTCGCAAACGTATAGAAAAGAAACGACACAAGACATAGCAAGAACATGACTATCTACTAAAAGAAAACTAATCGCATTTCTTTCGGATTCATTTGAAGATATTTCTTAAAGTATTGTTTTTTTTTTTTTTATTGCTTTGGTTCATTTTTATCTGTTTCTGGATGCTGCTTTTTTAATTAAAAAAAAATAGGACATCATTTCAAAGCCGTGAATTATTCTTTAATCATTTCATCATAAAAAGGCGATAAGGCCGTTAAGACGCAAGGAGTTAGTGAGGATAAAGTACAACAAAGTAAAGGAAACTGAGAAAAAGTGACTGCAAAAGAATGCAAGATTAGAAGAATAGGATTGAAGGCGACAGAAGAATATATCGAATAGAGTTTCACAGGCGAGGAGTGCGAAAGAAGAATCTGCAGGAATAGTACTTACTGTTGCATTTAGCAATTTTAACAGTATAATAATGAGAACTAAATGACAATCTAATCCTATGCTTAAATACAGGAAGTCGAGGTACAGATGAGAAATCCTCGACATCTTCATTTAGAAATAAAATAAAGACGATTAAAGAAGCAAACTATGTTTTAAAGTGTACCAGTTTTTGAAGATAGAAATATTAAATGAGAGAGAATGAACCAGACTTTAAGTAATATAATCATATATATAATCATATATATATATATATATATATATATATATATATATATATATATATATATATATATATAGTGGTTCATCTATCGAAACGCAGGATTAGAGGTACTGAAGCAGTTAGATTATGCCAGCTAAGTGACTAATGTTATATTTATATTAATCCTTATATATATATATATATATATATATATATATATATATATATATATATATGTGTGTGTGTGTGTGTGTGTGTGTGTATGTATGTATGTATGTATGTATGTATGTATGTATTTAATTCATGAATCATTCATAAAAAAACAAATATAAGTAAATGATTTAAATGGGAGCCATCTTCAAAAACAATATAAATAACATACATCAACCCCGAACCTGTATATGAATATGATCCCTGTTCATAAGTTCCAGTTGCATAAGGTCTTATCTTATGTATCTTATTTATATTGTTTGCGAAGATGTATTCTCGCCATTTAAATCATTAACCTCTATATTTGTTTTTTGTATGAATGATTCATGAATTTATAAATTATAATTTGCACCTTTATTTGAAATATATATATATATATATATATATATATATATATATATATATATATATATATATATATATATATGACCTGAGGAACCAGGAAAATATATTTTCTTGGGAAATAAATTATAGTCATGGAATATTAAGGCTGCCTATTTCTTAATTAATAAGCGCACCACATGAATTATAGAGAGGAGAAAAGCAAGAGTTACGAAATTTTATCGGTGATGGAGTTATATGAAATGTACATATTTTCATGCTGGTTCGAACGAAATGAAAAAGAACATTTTAGTGTCTATGCATCGTATCATAATTTCTCATCTCTCATTATATTATTATTGTTAACTTTTCTTCCTGGCACGGTTAGAAGATATCACTATCATTTTGAATGATTTCGCTAATTAAATATTTCCCAGTTTACAAACGGATCTTTTCTTTTAATTTTCCCACATGGGTGGCTAGTCTTGTACAATCCCTAAATCTTTCTAGTTTTAATGATGGTGATTATAACATCTATCCTTGAAGCTGCCTTCGGTAGACACTACTTATATTTTGATTTGGCCAGTTGGATCTTTTTAACCTTTTCATAATTATATATAAAATCATGTACGTATAATCATGTATATATAATAGGTGCTAACAAATATAACCATGCTTCTAAATAAAATAAAAAAATCATCATTCTAAAATTACCTTAAAAATTAAGTTTTTCCCAAGAACTGACACTTTCTGGAAACTCCTGCATGAGTGCTTTCCAGAACATTCCAATGCCGACTTCCTCAAGTAAAAGGTTAATCAATTAAGCTTCACGTACATCAGCTTTAATGATGTGCATACTCTTACGAAAGACCTTTACTTTCTTATATATATATATATATATATATATATATATATATGTAGAGCTCCTGTTTGTGAAACATGAGAACCCTTATGTAGCAAAGGAATCATATTAAAAAAAATTAATATATATATATATATATATATATATATATATATATATATATATATATATATATATATATATATATATATATTGAACAATAAAAAATAATAAAATATTAAAAACTTCAGACACACTGGGTTGTATATTAATATTCTTTCGTTTTTATTATTATTTCAGATTCCTCGAATAGTTTCTGCCAAAATGGCCATAATCCGGAGAAAAAAAAATCTGCTTGCTGGTAGCAGTGAACTACAGAAATAAATGTCTTGATGAAGAAATGAACATTTGTCTGTAGTTTTCATTTAATTTTTTAAATTTTATATGAATAAAACAGATTTTATCTATCTATCTATCTATCTATCTATCTATCTATCTATCTATCTATCTATCATATCTATCTATCTGTACACACACACACGCATATATATATATATATATATATATATATATAGATAGATAGATAGATAGATAGATAGATAGATAATATTAGCGGTAAATATACATATGCAAAATATATATATATATATATATAAACATACATAGTGTTTAAGACCATGGAATATTAGTGTTTAAGCCTTTTTTGTATTGTATATATATATATATATATATATATATATATATATATATATGTATATAAAATCTGTTTTGTTCAACCAACGAAGTTATATATATTTTTTTGTATTTTACTAGTTTTCAATATGATGTTCTGCAAAAATATAAGGAAACTCTCTGTTCATCGTAATTTTTTGTTTCGTTCAAGTTTTTTCCACTGTCTCTGTTGTTATAAAAACCTGGATCTCAATATGTTTGACAAGATATTGTTTTCAACAGGCTGGTATTTTTCGGAATGCTACGATTCAAATATAATTCAAACATACAGAGATCAAAAATACCCAGCTGTTTCTAATGACTGAGCCGGTCGGAAGAACTGATTTAAAACGTTGCGGATCGTATATGTTGCAAGGCAAACAATGGATTACTATTGCATGGGGACTGTCATTTCAACACTTCAAAGCGATCTTCAGAACTAAGATTAGCCTTAAAGAAAATAATTTCAAGTTGCTGGTTTCCTCCTTCGCCTACTTCCTTTAATCCCAGATAAATAAATATAAAGCCAGCCGAAGGATTAGTTACAATTGATCTGAAGGTCACATTGAATTGATCAACTGACAATGCCGATTATGTTGATATCTACACCTACTATATCTGCATCTATAAACGTCTCCAATACTGAGAATTCCCTCAAAATATAGCAGTATATATTTTGGGGAGGTATAATAAACAATGTATTTGAAATCGAAATCATTTGATTAGCAAAGTAGTAGTCTATTTACTGTCTAATTAGAAAATCGATGCAGAATATTTAAAAGGCTTCTTTAAAAAGATGCTGCATTTTGTTTTGGCCACCATGGCCATTATTAGGAGAAAAAAAAATCGGCTTGGTGGTAGCAGTGAACTACAGAAATGAATGTCTTGGTGGAGAAAATGAACTTTTGTCTGTAGTTTTCATTTAATTTTTTAAAATTTATATGAATAAAACAAATTTTACCTATCTATCTATCTATCTATCTATCTATCTATCTATCTATCTATCTATCTATCCACACACACACACACACACACACACACACACACACACACATATATATATATATATATATATATATATATATATATATATATATATATATATATATATAAAATGTGTTTTATTCAACCAACGAAGTTATATATTATTTTGTATTTTACTAGTTTTCAATATGATGCTCTACATACAAATATAAAAATATGGAGAATCTCTCTGGTCATTGTATTTTATTGTTTTCGTTCAAGTTTTTTTTCCACTGACTCTATCGTTATAAAAACGTGAATCTCAATATGTTTGATAAGGTAAACGTACAGATTTGAAATCGAAATCATTTGATTAGCAAAGTAGTAGTCTATTCACTGTCGAAACAGAAAAGCGATACAGAACATTTAAAAGGCTTCTTTAAAATAGATGCTGCATTTTGTTGGAAACAAAATACATCAATACGGCTATATGTTCATATAGTGCCTCTAAGAATGTCCCTAAGAATCCTTTCTTTATTCTGAACCTGGTCGTCCGCTAGAAGAGAAAACTAATGCCAAAACTCTGATTTATTCCAGTTGGTACAACTTATAGAGACGATGTATCAATAATTCTCTGTACATTATAAATCACGTCAGCTATCAGCAACCCTGCCTCTGCCGTGAAACGGATTTCAAAATCGCATTCACGAATAATGATATTTTTATTGTCGTCAGAAGGCAAAATATTCCTTTACATTCCGTTTCTGTCTCCTCCTCGTCATTTTTTTATGAAACCGATATTAAAATACACTTAA